GGTGTGTTTTGCATGTTGCCTTCTATTCAGGTTGAAACCCCTTTGTAGTACAGTGAGAGTCCCTTAGTGTGGATATATCTATGTACGGACTATATAGCTATTGTTGCGTTGATTAGGATGTATATATGTATCGGATCTCTGCTTGGACTGTAGTAGAGTAGAACTTATTTGTGGGCCTGACTCACCATTATTTTTCAGGTGTTCGTCAGGAGTAGAGGTTGTTCGTGCTGAGCAGGGATCAGTCTACTTCATTCTTCTGCTTCCATTTAGAAGATTTGTTTATGTTTCTGTTTTCAGATGTAGACATTATTTCAGTTACTTATTTAGTTTGGATTTCTAGGGGTCCACATTGTATGGATTCCTGAGTTGTATATTTTTGGAGGATTAGTTGTATCAGAAGGATTTATTAATCAATGAAATTTTTTTCTGAGGATTAATTATTGGATTATTATTTTAGTTTCCCTTCAGCATTTTATTTTTAATTTTATTATTATTATTTTTTATCATATTTGTACTCTGTGTTTGTTTATTACCGAATTATTTTTGATATCCTCGGGTATTCAGGCGTGGGCATGGCCAACCCGCATTCGGAAATCCAGGGAGTATCACAGAACGCACTCTAAGATTCACTAACAAGAGAGGGAATAATTTCACGAAGCCTATTAGCAAGCATCTTAGCAATAATCCGATAAGCAACAGAACATAACGATATTGGTCTATAATGGGAAACATATGTGGGGGATTCAATTTTAGGAATTAAAATGATATTAGTATGATTTAGACTAGATAAAAGATGACCCGAATGCATAAAACTGCATACCGCAACAATGAATCCGTCTTAATAATATTCCAATATCGCTAATAAAATAACGGAGTCATACCATCAGGACCTGGAGCTTTGCATGGCTGCATATCAAAAATAGCTCCACGAATTTCCTCCTCAGATGGCGGCCGAATTAATCTATTATTCATATCAGGAGTAACTCGTGGCTGAATGTGCCGTAAGAATTGATCAATACCAATTGAATCAGAAGAACGAAACAAGTCCTGAAAATAGGTAAGAAAAAGATCTTGAATATGGGATTCCTCTTTAATCCAATGACCAGGGGAATCTTCGAGCCCAGAAATATGATTGCGCCATTGGCGACAAAGAGTAGATGTATGGAAAAATTTAGAGTTGCGATCCCCCAACTGCAACCATTGAATCTGTGACTTCTGAAGCCAATACAGTTCCTCTTATCGCCACAAAGAGTGCAACTGTCGCTCCACAAGATGGATCTACTCAAGATCGTATTCATCCGATTGCTCTTTCAAATGTTGTAAGCGAATTTCAGCTTGTTCAATCTGACATCGAGAGTTAAAAGTGTTAGTTCGAGCCCAGTTGATTAAAGAACGTTTACAAGACTTGAGTTTTTCAGAGCATCGAAACAAACAAGACCCGAAAACTGGAATACTCCAGGCATGCCGGACAATATGCTCACACATAGGATTAGATACCTATCGAGCATCAAAATAGAATTGACAAGATTTTTGATGAAAAATCGGTATAAGCTCAAGAAGCAGAGCACTATGATCAGACCCTGCCACCGTAAGATGACGAAGTCGTGCCTGATGGAACAGCTGTTGCCACTCCTTACTGCTTAAAGCACGATTTAGGCGTTCCTGAATATTAGCCAAACCACTACGGTGGTTACACCACGTAAAGGGATAGCTCGCAAATCCCATATCCAATAACTCACAATCAGACACCAAAGTTTGAAAATTCTTGAGAACCCAATATGGTTTTGGAATATCACCCCGTTTGTCCACCGGAGATAACAAATCATTAAAGTCACCAATAATAAGCCACCTATTACCCCACAAAGGCTGCTGTCGTTTAAGGTATTCCCATTGAGCCGTACAAATACGATCATCAGTGTTTGCATAAATAAAAGTAAGAAACCAAGAACCTTTCCGAACTGCACATAACTCCACTGTAATTTGATAGTCACAAAAATCCACTGTTTTAAATAAATCATCGACCTGCCAAAGCAAAGCGAGACCCCTCGCCGGTCCCACTGAATCCACACATACCAAACAGAAGGCAGCTTTAGTTGACGTTTCAACGGTTGAAGATTTCGCAAACCAGTTTTAGTTTCAAGGAGAGCTATAATATCCAGATTGTGAGCCCTTTGAAGTCTCAGTAATTGTCGAACAGTAAGAGGATTACCAATACCTTGACCATTCCAAACCAACACTTGTAGAGAAATATGATGAAACACACATTGAGATACAACTGGAATATTATTAAGATAGAGAACAACAGAGGTACCTGAGGAAGACGCTATGCCACTAGAAATAGGACAATGATGACGTAAAGGATGAAGTCTCGGTAAAGAAGAAAAAGGTCGGCCCAAATCATTTGAAACAAAATCGGAATGACGGCCCAAACTAAAAGCCCGACTTGGGCTCGATCAAGAATCCGACACCAAAATTTGAAACAGAGGCCCAGGAGTAAGAAGCCTGGCCCACAAAGGATGGCTCAGCAACCTTGCGTAAACCATACGCTTGAGAACTGGCTCAGGATTCGTGCACATCATCAATGGAAACCGCCGCTGGGCAAGCTATCATCCGATCGAGCAAGAAGGTCAAGAAATCTCCAAAAAAACAATACAAGCAAGTAAATAAGACTCCAAGAGATCAATGACTTCGGACATAAGAAATCAAAGCCACCCACACAATATAAATAAAAGAACCGTGTCACCGTGACTACCCAAAGCAACCAGAAAGAGAAATTCCAGACAAACAAATGCCCCGGATACTCCACCGGATCCAACACCCCGAAACAATTAGTTAAGAAAGAGATAGGGAAAGGAGAGGAAAAATTATTTTCCTTCTCTTCTCAATCATTAATCTGCCCATGCTTAGGGAGTAAGAAGTTGTTGACATTTATAAAAGAATGCCTCTTACCCCTCTAGACGCGATTTGAAGATCGTTAACATGCAGAAGGTTCAAAAAGGACACCGAGCTCCAAAAGGTGGTGTCACCAAACAAGTGATAGAGATGATTTTGGTTGTTGTAGTGTCTCAAAAAATTAAAATATTCTTTTCTTACTGTTTGCATTATAGGTTTCTTATAATATGTATAAAGATGGTGAATTTTAAAGGGTGAAAAAAAAAAAAAAACATTTTAATGGTTGACTAATGGAAGTCTAACTAGTGCCTACCCTAGATCTGATGGTTTGGGCCGATATATGCCCCATTTTGTGGCGTCTGATTTGGCGGTTTTAATGCTGTCCATCTTAAAATCCAAGCAATTGACTAACTTTATTAGGAGTATTTATTATTATAATTATTGTTTTTTGTTTTTTTGTTTTTGCATTATTATTATACTAATTATAAATAAATAAAAATAAAACTAGGAAGGCCCAAGTCAGCCCATCTCCAAATCAAGGGTTGGCTCATGTAGTTTCTTTGGACAGTCCAGATTAAAATCACATGATCCACTTTGATGTTCCTTATAGAATAATACACGGCGCCATTAATGCCATCAAAAAGTAAAAATGGTACACTATTTTATTTTATACACACACACACATATATAATGTGTATGTTTATTATATGTATGGTCAAATAAGCTGCAGATCTTGATACCGCTCAGATTGATCTACCATTGAATCTGCAAATTTCTCTAGGGATCTAGTTCGAAATTTCGAATCCTTTCTCTTTCATTTCTCTTTGATTTTTTTTTTTGGTTAAGTAATTTTGAAAATTTTGTTTACTGAAAATAATTACAGAAACAAAATTATTGAAAATCCAAGTGATTGAACAATTTTTTAAATTTAATTACTTAATTAATTTTTTACTTTTTACTTTGAAACAAAAGAAGATACTCTAAGTTTGTGATCATATATTTAACATGCTAAGTTCCTCAATAAATCTAAAAAGCTCATAAATATGATTAAAATTCTATAGTAAAAACTCGGTCAATCAATCTGAATTTTCCAATGTTGATTAGATTAACTATAATACATTATACAAGATCTTATATTTATAATAAATGATGGAGTGTTAAAATTTGACGAAGTTGAGCGCTACTGAAGCAGTTGTCTATACGCCATACCGTTTGCTTCTCTTTCCTCTTAAATGCTCTCCCATATTGATCCAATGGGAATGTGATTAAATCATAAGAATAATTCAGAGACATCACTGATATATTATATATACACACATATATACATGCAAATATAACTGTCCTATGTACATGTAATTAACTAACATAAAAAAATTATAAGATACATACATACATACATACGTACACACATATATATATATATAATATACATACATATTTTTTAACAAAAAAATTCACACACCTATTATACCCTTATGAAGACTCAATTCCTCGACCTTCTACTGTAAAAGATAAAAAAATCTTAATGCTTATATCATGATTTGCCGTATCGACCGATACGCGACGTATCGTCTGGTTCATAACCCTTAAAATTGATACCGACACTATACACTCTCATAAACCGCCCAATTCGACCGATTTACATTATTATTCGTCCAAATTCATTATATCGGGATCGATACAGCTACTATTATGTTTCTCATTGCTTTGGAAGTCATTGTTAAAGTAACGCCCCCCCACTTTGTTGTCTTCACTAAAAACCACACACACACACATATACACACACACACATATATATTTATATGCTATGTTTAGACTTTGTCTCATTGCTTTGGAAGTCATTGCTAGAGTAATGCCCCCACTTTGGTTTTTTTTGTTTTTTTTTTGGTCTCATTGCCTAAGATTGAAAGTCAGTGTGAGATTGACCAATGCACATGTAGTTAACCAACATAAAGAAAAAACTTGCATAAGATTGAAATCCATTTCATGTGAGAGTAATATATTCACTTGGTATTGACTCAACCCTTTTCTCATCTAACACTCCACAGCTACAAAATGTACTTTCATAACCTCCAAAGTCCAAGTTAAGCTAACTTCATTTGCCAATAATGAGAGGACACTCTGAGAGCTCTTCTTGCTCTTTGAAATGTGTTCTGGCCCTAATTGTTGCCCTACAGCTCTCTTCCATCACCGTCAACGCTGCAGCCGTCAAATACCACCGTATAAAGCAGCAGAGGGATAGGATCATCAAGCTGCCCGGACAGCCGGAAAATGTCAGCTTCTCCCAGTACTCCGGCTATGTCACGGTGGACCAGAGGGCCGGCCGGGCTCTATTTTACTGGTTGATTGAGTCACCAGACAGTAAGAAGCCCTCATCAAAGCCACTTGTTTTGTGGCTCAATGGTGGGCCTGGTTGCTCGTCTGTAGCCTATGGGGCCTCCGAGGAGGTGGGCCCGTTTCGTGTTCTTCCTGATGGAATGAACCTCACTTTGAGCCCATATGCTTGGAACAAAGGTACGCAATAAGTACAACGTTTTGACAAAAGAGATATTTTATCCATACCTAATTCAATAGATAATGAATCACTGCTGCCATATTATACGGCCATATTATATGGATTACTTAATATTATGTTTTGTTTGATCTTTAGCCTTTCATTATACTTGTTAGTGATTACATATGGTCGTAATAGTCAATGGATGTGTCATTAAATTTAGGTAAGTGGTACTATACTGCATCTGAGTGTACGTCCACAAGCCTTACATGTGCGAGGCTTGTGGACTCTTAGATGCATGCAGGTACGTGTTGTGCGGATTTTAAATATAGATTTTGGGTTTCAAAGAAAATTACTTGTAACATTTTCTTTTGTCACCTACGGTTTTTGATGCAGAGGCCAACTTGCTTTTCCTTGATTCACCAGCTGGTGTTGGTTTCTCCTATTCAAATACTTCATTTGATGAAACTACTGGTGACCAAAGAACAGGTTCCTCTCTCTCTCTCTCTCTCTCTCTCTATATATATATATATATGTTGTTGTCGTTCTAACTGTTAAATTATATATTATTTTCCAACCAAAATTTCAAATGTGGACTTTGAAATGTAGCTAAAGATGCATATACATTCCTTATCAATTGGTTTGAGAGGTTTTATCAGTACAAGCACAGACCATTCTATATTGCTGGAGAAAGCTATGCAGGTTAATTTCGCTACAAAAACCACTTCTATATTTCATTTGAAACTTCAATGATTGGTTGCTCAACCATGCCATTTTCTTTTATATTTTAAATTATTATTTTTTTTGATTTATAATCGATTTTTAGGTCATTACATTCCTGAGTTGTCTCAACTCATACTCCGACACAATAAGGGTATTATTAATTTCAAAGGCTTCTTGGTAAGTCGTTATTCATTAATAAGTCTTATATTCGGAATCTCTTTTAATCTGAACCGGGACTGGTCTCATCATCGTTTCACAACGAACGTCGGTATTACTTACATCAAAATATTCGGAATTATTCCAATGTGATACTCCAAATGATTTATTTTGAATTTTATGAGCAGTTGGGAAATCCACTTCTAGATGACTACTATGATAATATTGGTACGTTTGAGTTTTGGTGGAACCATGGGTTAATCTCGGACATAACGTATGATGCACTAAATGGATCCTGTCCACACGATTCCTTCCTTTTCCCGCGAAATAAATGTTACAAAGCTCTTTTTGATGCTTACGCCGAGTTTGGAGACATCAATCCCTATGCCATTTACGACACTCCTTGCTACGATACGGGCACCCTTCCCCACAACTTAAGGACTCCTCTGGTAAAACACCTTCCAACTTCATTTTTACCATTTCATTTTTCATTTTTTTTACCTTCAACATTTGATTCACTTTTATTTTATATATATATATATGTGTGTGTGTGTGTGTGTACACAAACTGTCACACACGGACACATACAGATTATTTCTACACGTTGTCACACACAGACACATACAGATTATTTCTACACGTACGTTATATAACTGACATGGTGTGGGAAATATTGTGTTGAATTCAGCCGTGGACATTTAGAGGGAACGACGAGTGCATCGTGAAGTACACAAAAAAGTACATGAATCTCCCAGATGTGCAAAAGGCTCTTCACGCAAATGTTACTCAAATTCTTCATCCTTGGATGACTTGCAGGTTTGAAAACAACAATTTTTGGAACATTTTACATCAATTTACAATGAAAATTGCTTATGCATGATCGTCAATATGATTTTTGTTACTGAAAATAATGTGAATTTTGACTTGTTTTTTGAACTATGTTTTCTTGAAACATTGAAAATCTTGTTAGAACTATATGTTTTCAGCCAATTTAGTATTTTTGACCCAAAAACAAAAAGATAGTCAACATAAATTATCATTTTTGTGTTATCAGAAAATTGGTCTTTTTTGTTTCTCAAATTTTTGAAAATATTTTTCGAAACAGCAGAGACAAAATCTTAATCAAAATTTCTTTTCCAGTAAATAAATGCTACAAAACTATTTATAATATATTATACCTATCTGCAGTGATGTTGTAAGGAGCAGCTGGACTGATTCACCCAAATCCATGCTTCCCATCCTCAAGGAACTTATAGCAGCTGGCATCAGGATATGGATATTTAGGTAATTTAACAAAACAAACCAACTAGTTTTGTATTCCCTCTTTTTTTTTTTTTAAAAATACCTCTTTACTTTGAGTTACAGTTTTTCATGAGCGACATCTTTTTTGAAATTTTTTTTGAAATAGAGGGAGTAGTCCTTTAACATTCATTCAACATAAGTACTACCAAATGGGTAATGCTCATATGGTACAAACCCTTCTTTCCGAACGGAGCTCGGGTGTTCGAGTTTCTATGAGACATGGATGTGTTTTTGTTTAACCTTTCGAAAACAAATTAAAAAAAATATATAAGTACTAAAATACCTAACATGGAATTTCTTGAACTCTATAATTAGCGGCGACACTGATGCTGTTTTGCCACTCACCGCGACCCGTTATTCCATCAAAGCTTTGAAGCTCAAGACCATCACCAACTGGCATGCCTGGTATGACGACAATCAAGAGGTCGGTTGTTTACTTCTAAGAAAATCAAAATTTCAAATAATCATAGTATATGAAATAACTTGGACATTAATATGTTAATTAATGTTTGTGTAATATTCTAATTAATTAATAAATTGATTTTGCATAGGTTGGTGGTTGGAGCCAAGTATACAAGGGTCTGACCTACTTAACAGTGAGGGGGGCTGGGCATGAGGTTCCACTGGGCCGCCCTCGGCTTGCACTGATGCTGTTTAGTCATTACTTGAAAAACAAAACCTTGCCATCATCTTGAAAATATAGATATATATGTGTATATATCTCTATGGGTTAGGGTTTATACAATTGCATGTTTGCTGTGTTATAAATTATAATGGGTTAAGTGCCAAAAAGTGCATTTAACACCCAACAAGCCATGTATTCCTATTTTACTGTTACTAGATGAATAAGTACAATTCTAAATAAGTTTTCATTTATAGAGGTGTATTTATTTATTTCCCCCACCCACCTTGGGCCCACCCAAGGTTTATAAAGGTGTAATTGGATAACAAGTGGAGTATGATTTTTGGCACAATGATAATGTTGCTTTACTAATTGTAGACAGTAAAATTTTAATAGACTTTTGTTTTGACAAATTGACCTATTAAATATGAATTTAATGTTTAATTAAGTTATTTAATTGGCTCAAGCTTGATCCACTTAAATTATTTAATTAGCCCAACCCAGATGATTAAATGAAAAGATAATTATGCTTATAAATAGAAGCATGGAGGAAGGAGGAAGGAGGAAGGAGGAAGGAGGAAGGAGGTCCAGAAATTGAGAGACTCAGAAATCTAGAGGGACAAATTTAGAATTCAGAAATCCAGAATTCCAGAGAGAAATACAGAAACTCTGTTAATACTCATCCCCAACATCCAAACCCAAAGGTGAAAAACACCAAGCACATCAAATCGTGCCGTTCTTCATCAAATTCCATGGTGATCAACAACAAGCACATTAAATCGTGCCGTTCTTCATCCAAATTCTACGGTGATGCAAGATCAAGCTCGTGTAGCCCTTGAATACCAACAAAGGAGACCGAATCAGACTACCTTATTCTTTGTAAAGAATATTATTATAGAGGGTTGTACTCCAATTTTCTTAAATTAATAAAATATTATTTTTGCTACCTATTTCGTTCTTTATTTGCAAATTACGAAATTTGTGTGTACAAATTTTTGGCACGCCCGGTGGGACATCCTCTGCCTCTCATCTTTTTTTCCTACATCAAATCCTCAAGAAATTCATTGTCAGAGTCTATGACTTCTAACAAGATTCAGACGAAGAGTAAGAATACCACCAAGGACATCGTAGTTATAACGGACAACATCATCACCACCATAAAAGGTGGCAAGAAGATTGCAACTTCATCAAGTGATACACACAACTCTGCAAGTTCAATCATGTGGATCATGGTCAAAGCATCTGTTCCTACCAAAAAATAGCACGATGCAATAAGAGTCGATTCCGCCAAATCTGTCAAAGTAACAACTCAGACTCATACTGCTTTCACCTCGTTAAGGGCAAGGAGGAAGGTTCCTATAGCCTTAAAGGTTGCTCTAGTCAAAAGTTCAAGTTCAAGGCTGGTCCACCTAAGGCCAAAGATTTTTTTTGACTCCATCACTATGCCAGTCATGATGACGAGTACTACTTTGTACGAAGAGTAATTGACGACTATGGCCCGTGCAATTGAAAGATTACAACACTCTCTCAAGGAGTAAGATTTAAAAATTGCCTCGCTGACGGAAAAGTTAAAATTGCATGACGACAATGCTAAGTCAAGCAAAGACCGAATTCTTCATTCTAATTCCATACTAGAGAACACTCTAATTGATGATCAAAATGACGTGTCCGCCAATCCAACAATTCTCACTTTCTATCCAACAACTTCAAGACATGATAGTGAATTGCATAAGAGAACAATACAATGGTGTTTCTCAAAGTGCTCGCATGTACTTAAAGCCTTACACGGAAAAGATTGACATCTTAAAAATGCAGGTTGGGTATCAACCTCCAAAGCTTTAATAATTTGATGGGAAAGACAATCCCAAGCAACATGTCTCACATTTTGTAGAAACTTGCGGCAATGCTGGTACAAACAGAGATCTACTTGTCAAGCAATTTGTTCGTTCCTTCAAAGGGAATGCATTTGATTGGTACATAAACCTCAAAACTGGAGGTATTGACTGTTAGGAGTAGATGGAACTAGAATTTCTCAACCGTTTCTATAGCACTCGTCGTACTGTAAGTATGTTGGAGCTTACAAACACAAAACAGATAAAGGGTGAACTCGTGGTTAACTACATCAACCGTTGGCGAGCTCTAAGTCTTGACTGCAAGGATCGTTTGTCTGAAATTTTTGCAATTGAAGCATGTATGCAAGGCATGCGCTGGGAGATTCTTTACATCCTATAAGGGATTAAGCCTGGCACATTTGAAGAGCTTGTTACTCGAGCCCATGACATGGAGTTTAGTATGGAAAATCATGGTGCGAGAGAAAATGTTCCTGATATATCCGATAACTTTCAAGAAGATGAGAGAAGTGAGTCTGAAGAAGAAGAAAACAATATACTTCTTAATTCGGATGATGAAATAGCTTTATCTTTCATTATAAGCATCATCTCGAAAGACTTGCATCAAAAAACACACTATGCTACAACAATGACTTCAACCGAAAGTGCAAAATCACAGGGGGTATTAAGTCAAGAAAAACAATAAGAAAATCCTCAAAGTGACGATGAGATAGTCCATGCCCTCCAGTATAAGCTTGGATTATCGCCTAATTCTTGCAAAGTTGAAGAATAATTAAAGTTGAAGTGCTCCCCAATACGAGCATAAATTGTTGATGACACTCCTTGATATGAGTATAAACTGTTTGTCTGACAAGGAAAAAAAATCAAGAACTCCTTGATACGAGTTTAAACTATCTCCTAAAAAAAAAAAATGATACTCTTTGACACGAGTTTAAACTATCTACCTGAAGAAAAAAAAATCAAAAACTCCTTGACACGAGTATAAACTGTCTACTTGAAAAAAAAAAAAAAATCAAGAACTTCTTGATACGAGTTTAAACTGTTTTCCAAAAAAAAAAATGACATTCCTTGACACGAGTTTAAACTGTCTACCTGAAAAAAAATCAAAAACTCCTTGACACGAATATAAACTGTCTATCTGGAAAAAAAATTAGAAACTCTTTGATACGAGTATAAATTATTTGAAAAAAAAAAACTTTTTAACACGAGTATAAACTTTTTTGGAAAAAAAATTGAACTATGTGATGACTTGATCCCTGTTCAAGGTACGTAGGCATTTTGGAGGCCTGTTCCAAGTTTAGTCCCCCAAAAAAAAAAAATAACTCCTCAAAGTTGCAAAATGGCAAAGTGTGCTCGTCACGAGATATCAAAAGGACTAGTCCCAATTAATCAACTTGGCTTACTATCAAAATATTGTTGTTGCTCGTCATAAATTTTCAACTTGGCTCACTATCAAGATGTTGTTACTCATCATGCGATATCAAAAGTGCTTGTCGCACCTGTCAACTTGGCACGCCACCAAAGTATAGCTGCAAAGAAAATTTTGGTCTGTTGCCAAATTGTAGCTGCAAGGAAGAAATTTGGCTCGTCGCTAAAGTGTAGTTGCAAAGAAGAATTTTGGTCCGTCGCCATAGTTGTAGCAACAAAAGAAATTTTGATCCTGCAAAGTGTAGCTGTAAATAAATAAATTGGTTCGTCGCTAGATTGTAGCTGCCTAGAAAAATTCTGCTCACCGCCGAGGGATTGCTGAAAGAGAAATTTTGGTTTCCGCTGAGGTGTCGTTGAAGAAAAAAAATTTTGCTCGCCGCCGAGGTATTGCTGAAAGGAAGAAATGGCTTTGCATGTCCACTGAAGTGGATAATTTAATATCAAGTCCAATGGATTATTCATTAATTTGATCAAAACCGAAGTTGGTGAAGTCGCAAGTAACTTTGCATGTCTAATGAAGTGGATAATTTAATATTAAGTCCAATGGATTCTTTATTAATCTGATCAAGACCAAAGTTGGTGAGTTCGCATGTAGCCTTGCGTGTCCAATGAGATGAACAATATTCATTGTTAGGATCAGATAATTGAATGCGTGTCCAAAGATATGAACAATGTTAATGCAGGATCAGACATTTGAATGGCATTGCGACCGAGAAGTGAGTCAGATACATTTAATGTGGTTCCTTAGCCTTTTCGACCACTTTCACTCTCTAAGATAGTCATCTTTTGCTTTGTAAAACACTTGAATTCCACCATGATGTGACAATAAATTTGAAAGTTCGATCGGTGTTGTCTAAAAGGAGGATTCCAATTTCTTCTTTAGTTGACAAAATCAAGTTGCTATACCCAATCAAGCCTTTAAAAAAAAAAAATCCTTTGGAGAATCCTGGAAAAAAAGAAGAAATAAGTGTTGAAAAAAACAAATGCAAGAAAAAAAAGGAAAGAAGGAAAAAAAGAAAAACAAATTGTGAAAAAAAGGAGAGAAAAAAAAATGTGTGAAAAAAAAGGAAAGAACAAAAAAGAGTGAAAAAAAAGGAAAGAAAAAAAAAAAGGAGAGAAAAAAAAATGCGTGAAAAAAAGGAAAGAAAAAAAAAGAAAAAAGAAAAAAGAAAAAAGAAAAAGAAGTTGGATGGAAAAGACGAAACAGAGACAAAAGTATGTTATATACTAATCTGGAAGTTACCATGTGACTAAAAAAATAAAGGAAAGGAGATTCCCTCGTTTTGCATGATATCATGGTGGACTTTACTTTACTCATCATCAAAGGCACTCAGTTTGCATGGCAGTGTGTGGGTTAAAACAAAAGTTGCTTTTGACAAAAGGAGGCATTAAAATTCATACCAGAAATCTTTCTTCTTCTATTGTTTGAGGCTGAGGCTGCAATCTAACAAATCTTCAACAGTGCTGGAATTGATTTCAATAACATCGGTGGTATATATAGACAACAAAATACTTCCTATTTGTATTGGGATTTGTATAATTCAATTCAAATTGGAAAAAGGGAAATTATAATCCAAAGTTGGATAGGAAAATCTTTCACAATTCAAAGACTAAGTTGGATACTTCAAGTCTCACTTGGAAAAGGAGTCAAGTCCTGTCAAACATGAGACTCGAAATAGGAGCAATTTGTAGACACTAAAATTTTAATGGACTTTTGTTTTGGCATATTAACCCATTAAATATGGGTCTAATGTTTAATTAAGTTATTTAATTGACCAAGCTTGGTCCACTTAAA